CCTAGGGATCTGCTCCAAGTGTTAAATTTCCTTGAAGTCATCTGTTTTATTTAAAAAATACATGTGGATTTTGCATTCTACTCCATAACATATATTGGTTTTAATGTAAAAATCATGTGTTTTCCCACAATATCTTTGAATTACAGAGCTCTAGGAAAATATGCTAAGTTTATACCACAGCTTTGTATCTTCCAAGATGCATACAATTTTAGAAGCTTAGCTTTACAAGGAGTAAAGACAATTATAAAATAAATTTTTCTGTGGATCCCACATATTTCCTGCCTTCAGTTTTCCATTCACTTCAAGGTATTTTTTTTTTTTTTTTGGTCAGTTAATTTGAAGCCTATAACTCTAGGGCTGAACTGAAATAAACTTATTTGCTATACCAGACAGAAAAGATTTTTACTCTATTAAAATAGGTACTCAGGTTCTAATAATCCAAAAAAAAGTATTAGCAATCATAAATTGTTCCTTAAATATGAAGTATATAATATAATCATTAACCAAATTAGTTTCATCTTATCTATATCCCTCTTGTTAAAAAAGAAAGGTGCTTTTTTATTTTTGAAGGTGATCATCTTACAAGGAGATAATCCACCATCAAATAAAGTGAATTATATAGTATTGATCTATTAGTATTTTGCTGGTTGACTGTGAATATATATATATGCTATACACAGTAGTAGAGGTGACAGAATGTGACTCATACAGGACTGAAATATATATTAAGCAAACAAGACAAGTTAGACTCAAATACCAAGGAAAAGTAACTATAAATAAGAGTAATTGGCTTGTCCTTTTACCACATTTGGTTTTTGTTTTTTTTTTTTCCTGCAGATTGAATTCAAAGTATTTTTTCCTAAGGCTTTAGTAGAAAAACATTAAAAAAAGAAAACAGGGGAAGTGGATTTTGAACAGTAATTTGACAAGTAATAGTCAGTTGTCTTAGAGGACAGGGCGTGTGAGATTTCCAGGCATGGGATGCAGAATGAAATCATACACAGAGACAGGATTATTAGAAAGGAATAAAACAGCTCAAGAGAAAATGTGTCTGGGCACACTGAAATGAGATCTAGGAGGAAATAAAAGAAGGATGCAAGCAGGTGGAATGTACTTAAGAACTTTTTGAGTTGAGAACTCTGAATTTCACAGGGAAAGAAATAGAACTGGTCAAAATAACTTGAGAATGGGATTGCTGCAGCCCAAACTGTAAGACAGGAAGGAAGAGGATTTCTGGCAACAGTCTTTTGAATACACTGGCAGGAAGAATACACAAAAGCAGAAATAATCAAAATAACAACAGAGATTTTACTCTTGAAATGGAAAGGGAGAAAGAAGTCGGTGATATTGTAAAAGAAAAATATAGAAGGATTTACCAAAAGCCCAGACACAGGAAACACACAAATAGAACTGAATACAATACAAACTTAGCTGAGACTGGAGGACCTATAGGCATCCTTATCATCATTCCTTTCTAACAAAATAAATCACAACACTTTAGCTTTCATAGCAGTATATCAATAATTTCTACTACTACTACTACTACTACTACTACTACTACTACTACTACTACAACTACTACTATTGCTGAAGATAGTGGTATAGCAACAGCTGCAATATTCACTGTGAATTTTACTGCATGCTTTGAATATGTTAACTCAATTAATCTTACTATTACTATCATTCCCATTTCATAGATGGGGAAACAAAAATTTGTAAATTTAAATTACTAGCTCAAGATTATAGAACTAATAAGTAACAGAGCTAAGATTAGAACTTTATAATATGTAACTCAAAAAGGTGTGCTCTATAGGCTACCTTCATCAGTAGCAGTAGTGGCTCAAAGCATGTTTGACACAATAATGATATAGACATAAATGATAGAGATATAAAAAGGCATTTAGACCTGCAAACCACAATGAGATATCACCTCACACCAGTTAGGATGCCCAACATAGAAAAGAATAGGAACAACAAATGCTGGCAAGGATGTGGAGAAAAGGGAACCCTCCTACACTGCTGGTGGGAATGTAAACTAGTTCAACCACTGTGGAAAGCAGTATAGAGGTTCCTCAAAAAACTAAAAATAGAAACACTATTTGACCCAGGAATTCCACTCCTAGGAATTTACCCTAAGAATGCAGGAGCCCAGTTTCAAAAAGACATATGAACCCCTATGTTAATCACAGCACTACTTATAATACCAAGAAATGGAAGCAACCTAAGTGTCCATCAGTAGATGAATGGATAAAGATGTGGTACATATATATCACAATAGAATATTATTCAGCTGTAAGAAGTAAACAAATCCTACCATTTGCAACAACATGGATGGAGCTAGAGGGTATTATGTTCAGTGAAATAAGCCAGGCAGAGAAAGATAAGTACCAAATGTTTTCACTCATCTGTGGAGCATAAAAAGAAAGCAAAAACTGAAGGAACAAAACAGCAGCAGACTCACAGAACCCAAGAATGGACTATCAGTTACCAAACGGAAAAGGACTGGGGAGACTGGGTGGGAAGGGAGGGATAAGGAGAATAAGGGGCATTAGGATTAGCACATAATGTAGCAGGGGGCACATGGAGAAGGCAGTATAGCACAGAGAAGACAAGTAGTGAGTGAGTCTATAGCATCTTACTATGCTGTTGAACAGAGACTGTAATGGGTATGTGGTATGGACTTGATAATGAGGGGAATCTAGTAACCACAATGTTGCTCATGAGATTGTACATTAATGGTACCAAAAAAAAAAGATATTACTATAAAAAATAAAAATAAATAAATAAAGGTATTTAGACCTAAAAATCAATGCTGATATAAGCATCATTTCAGATTTCATTACACTGTTCTGGATTATTTTGACTAAAAATCTGTTTATCCGATATATTTGTGTAAAGTATCCTCAGTATAATGATCAAATGTATTATCAAAATATTGACATCATTGTATTTAAGCATATTCTTGATATCCTTGCTCTAAAAATCTTTCTGAAATTGAATCTGCATTTTGAACATATAAGAGGGCAATCAAAAAGTAGTAATAGCACAGAATTGACCTAATTTCAGAATTAGTCTTATTTGTGACATGTTTCCTGTTTCAAATTATAATACACATTTCTAACTTGCTTTATTCCACATTTATTATACGTTAGTAATTAAGTCTCCAGTCACAAAGGTATGTTTTTAAATCCAAGGGCCATGATATAGAAGTTCTTTAAAAAAGCAACTGCCAGAAAGCTGCTATTATAGTGGTAGTGAGTTCAATCTTCCATCATATTATAAAGTCCTTTTTTATAAAAGAGAAAGAAAATAAATAGCACTATGGAGACATAGTTTGTATCCTAGTGTTATTCTGTCCTTGGACCACAAAATGAGACACATTGGATTAAATTAAAGAAATATGTTGAGGATTTGACTGACCAGCCAAAATGACTGCTGAACAATATTATACAAACAATATTCTGGGTTTTATAGACACTTTTTTCCCCCTTCAAAGGGCATTAACAGGTTTATATGGTTTGTAATAAACTTGGGAAACGTATACGCTTTTGAGTCCTTACTGAAAGCTCTCAGAGTTATAGAGAAATGGAATTACTACAGTGCAATTTCAAATACAAGATTTATGGCATACTTTCCTTATCTGAGGGGTAAAATGTACTTCTCCACTTATATAATCTCACCTTCAAAAAATGTTTCCTTGATCTTTCCTCTTTTCTTTCACTTTTCAACTTCCTGCAAGAGTATAACATACTCACTAACCAACAAAGCTAATTAGCTAGAATTAAATCTTGGAGAGATTGTTGTTCCTCCCCTCCTAACCCTCAGTGCCACATTTTGCCCATTCTAGTCCTTTAGTCAGACCTTGCTGCCTACAACATCAAGACTAAACTGCTTAGCACGACTGAAATTTCTTGAGATGGCTGCTTTAGTGCTCCAGTCTTAGAGTTCAACTATTCTTTTACCTACCCTGATCTCTGCTGCCACTGTGCCTTTGCTCATATCGTTTGCTCTCTGGAAAGCAAGCCCCTTTTCCATGTCTGTAAAAATCCTGTCCTCATGCTTCACCTTCACCCTTTTGGCTTCTTCCACAAAGCCTTCTCTTATCTACACATTCAAAAGTTCTTTCTCATCTAAATTACAGTTATTATCTTTCTGTGTAGCGCTTCTCATATAAAGTATTTGTACGTGTCTTTTTTTACCTTCTAGATTTTAAACACATTCTAGCAAGAATTGTCTGACAACCATTTTGATTTCACCGAAAGTCCCATAGTATATTTCCTTTGCAAACAATATACACTTAAGTGTTTATGAAATCAATGAGTGAACATATTATCTGACCAGAGATATAAAAGTTTCAATAACCTAGCAGTATTAAAAAAAATAAACAGAGTCAAAAGAAGGTCATTAAAATTACTCTGCTATCAAATATAAGCTAATGGAAATTATCTTCCTGCTTTTCTTATATTGTTGTGCCCAAAGTCACGAATCCCAGAAGACCAACAAGGAGCCAACACCGATGCAAAAGCAAAGAGCCTTTATTCGAGCTAGCTCGAGCTCAATCTCTCATCTACACCAACGCAGTGGCAAGATGCCAGAGAAAGAGAGCGCGTTTTCCCCAGAACAAAGGTTTTATGGGTTTCCAGGGCAGTTTGGGGGGTGATGGCTGTGGCCCTGGCTGATTGGCTGGGCCTGGGAGTAGTTGGGGGGTGATGAGTCGTGGCTTTGGTCAACTGGCAGGGTCTAGGGGTGGTAAGTGTACTTCTTGCTGACTGGAGGGGAGAGAGACCAAGCTCCGATTGGGTGAAATAGGATCTGGGTCCCAATTGGCTGAGGTAGGATTCAGGTCTCAATTGGCTAAAATAGAATCTTGGAGCTTGCCCTTTCAATATCAGTAAACAAACAGAAAAAAATACAATTAATGTTTATAGATTATTTAATCCTACCATGTAAAATATAATACTAAGGCAAGAAATGTCCTAAAGCAGTTACAAATCAATTACCTTTGCTTGCACTCTCTATATGTTCTAGTTCTTCAGGAAATTTCAGGATATCCCGGTACTTTTCCTCACAAATTTCAGCAATAAAATGCAAAAGTGTTGTTTTTTGATCGGCTGATTTAGTATCTCTGATCTGGAATAAAAGAACAACGCATTTTTTACTGTTTTTCAATAATGTAAAAATCAACTTTTTTCTTAAACAAGTGAAATGAATAAATGAATGAACTCAATTCGTTGAAACTAATTTAAATTTTTTTTTTTAAAGTTTGGGGTAAGTTCCTAATGTGGTCTAGTAACAATAATCTGGAATTTAATGAACTCCATATTTGACAAGTGAGAAAGGTGCCCCAAAAATTGAAAAACTAAATTTTAGTCTATATTTTACCAATGTCTACATTATTATGGCAAAATGAAAAGTAGGAGAAAATAACATTTATTTAGGTATTGATAATAATAATCTAAGTTAATGGTATCAGAATTCTGGTTTTTATCACAGAAATAGATCATTGAAAGATGGATTCATTTGTAAGGTTATATTTATTCTAACCATCACTGATGCAAATTAATGTAAAAGAGTAAGCATATTTCATCCTCCTTTATTTTCATGAGCCATCAAAAAATAATAACTGAAAACTTATGCTGATTTATAAACAGAATCAGACCACACAATTGTGATAAGACAAATTTTATTTGTCTGCTTACATATTGTATTTCCCTTTTAGAGACACTAGGCAAGAGATGCTGCCATTAGAATGATAAAATTCTTTCAAATATAGGACAAAGAAAAACATATGAGATCTAAGTGTTTTCTTTAATATAACTACCATACTAGAGTAAGCTACATGAAATCGAGGATTTACTTAAAAACAAAGGATAAATATGGCATAAAGTATTAACTTTTCTCATTCTATTGGATGTTTTAATCCTGTAAATATAAGCTAATGGAAATTATCTTCCTGTTTTACTTCTATCAGTAAACAAGCAGAAAAAAAATACAATTAATGTTTATTTAATCCTACCACGTAAAATATAATACTAAGGCAACAAATGTCTTAAAGCAGTAACAAATCAATTACTGATGGGTTTGTCCATTGATGTTCATACTGATTTGGGGTTTTTAGTTTTAAGGATTACTCTGTTTCAAATAAATAAGTATTTTTTTGCAAATAGGTTTATGAAAAGGCTGTGGAGGATATTACGGTAATTACAGAATAATTTAATCCTTATTGTTTTACTGACTAAGGAAAAACAAAAACATTGCAGTTAATCAATCATGCCTATATTGAACCTTTTTTGTGCTACAGTTTTAACAACTGTTTACATCCCAATGATAAGAACAACTTAAAAGAAATAGTAGTCTCAAGGCTCAAAACGGAGGCATGATGTTGACAGTTCAAGGGGTCACAGTTATTTCTTTTAGAACTTCTGGGAATGCTTTATCCCACACAGGTGAAATACTTAAAACTTTTCATTATCATGCTGATACACCACTTTTAAGCACTACAAGGTTGAAAGGACACAATTCAAGGACAAGCTGTAAGAACAAAAGCAACAAAAACCTCAAGGGCAATTTATCTTAAGTAGGGTTTGTAGCTGTACAGGAATAAAGGGGAGGTTAACTTTCTCAAGAGGCCTTAACTTGGGAGTAGGATGTTATACATTCACAAAGTGCATTGTTTTCAGAGTATGCTGGATATTCCAAATAATAAGGAAATTACAAATTACCTGAATTCCTAAATCCTAAAATACTAAAAACATTAGGTGATTAGGGAAAATTAAAGGTGCATCTTCTAAAGGAAATCGATCTATATCTTATGACCTCTGTGGAGATAATACATATATAGAGACACACAAAATAACAACAAAAGCCCACCTAATTTTTCCAGACACCAAATTGTACAAGTATAATTTTTTTTTCTTAATGCATACGGCCAGCAATGGAAAGGAAAATACAAATAGAAAGATAGAATTCTGCTCATACGTTAGCATGTTATGGGTGATTTAAAACTTCAGCTTTTGACATGCATACTTACAGATGCTTAATTTTTAGAAATTTTAAATTCATGAATATATATTCAGAATCAGGTCTATTAATTTATGTCTAAGAAATTTATTAGATTCAATGGTTACATTTTAAAAAGATAAAGCATAACATTTCAGTTAAATAAATATCTCGGCATCTTTGTCAAAATCAGAAAGTTGTGGACAGAGTATGCATATACTTGTTTAGAACTGTAACAGTCTTTTCAAAGCATGGGCAAATATGGCCAAATGCCTGTCTTGTCAAGCTGAGAAGTATCTTAGTTGGTATGGGAGACAAACTGCTAAATCTGTATTGCAATATTTATTTTTCAAATAACCTCACACGGAGTCCATTTTAAGGTTTCAAACTGGCAGGAAATAATCATAACAAATATGTGGCCTTTTAAATGTTTTTCTTTATGTATGATCTTTAGACCAATCATTTAAAAATACATATATAACATTAAAATATAAAAGGAAGGAATTTTTACTTATTAACATATATTTGCATTTTATTATCATGTCTTCAGCCTCTCTTACCTTGACTTCCATCATTCACTCATTACCCATTGTCTCACTCTCGGACCTACTGTATTGTTCAATGTCAGCTCAGAAGGCAAATAAGAACATTCACCCTCATCAATTCTAATGGCTAATGGTATTTATCCAATAATTTGTTCTTCAAGTGTAATAAGTTGGATATATACATCTCTTGGGGTAGTACAAAGGTAATTTAATCTGAGCATGTACAAGATCACTTCCACAGTGTTTGGATTAGTTAATTAAGAAATAACATTGATTTCCAATTGATATCTGGTTACCCCAAAATTATGTTAATTTTATAGTAATCTCAAATATGCCAGTAATACTTGTCCAGATTGCCTAACTCTTAGTGGTGACTACACTGTGAGCATTTCAAGGTTTGCTCCAGCCAAGAGCCAAATAAATGCCTTTTCACCTTCCTACTGTGCTTTCCCTCTCTCCCTCTCACCAGCCACAGTTAGGCAGTGGTATGAGACAGATACAGAAATTCTCTTCATAAGAAGCAAAAGGATGAACAAAATGGTTGCCCTTTAGTTCTCTGTCTTGTATGTATTTTCAAACAATAAAAACTCAAACAGTTCCAGAAATTGAAAATAATTTGAAAGAGCCAAAAATGTTTTATAATATGTTAATATGCTGAGTTATCAATGATAACAATAAAAATAAGACAGACTAATTCACTATATTCACTGATAAAGTACCATCAGTTAATAAACCATATGGTGATTTTAACTGTAGTCTGACCAATAACGATTACACATAAAGATTAATAATTAAATTTATACTAATCATATCTACCTAATCTTTAATAACTTTCTGAAATGGTACATGAATACAGAATATCTTTAACAGAACAACACCTATTTATATAGCAAGTTTTGATAATTTCTCTTTTTTTCTAATAAATATGAGTGCTATATTAGGAAAGATAATATTTACATTTGACATGCTCAAATACATTTACAAAACTTTAGTTAGGCAGGTAGCAAAATACCTGAAAAATGAATTGTCTTGTGAAAGACTTATTCAAATATTCTCACTCAACTGTGAAAATATGCAGTCTTTGAAATCAGGCAGTGGGAGCACACAGAAGCCAGCACTCTCAGCCAGGGAGTCTAAGACAACACCATTTTAATTGTCTATGTCAGTCAACACTCAATCTTCCTGTGAAGAACCCCTTCTGTAGGTAATTTTCCCTTCTGCTGAGATTCAAGACTATTTCTTATTGCTCTGTCCTCAGCGAGAACTGCAAATAACTTGTAACTATCCTCTGTATAACTCCCTCCCACAGAGTGAAAGTTCCTTTCTCTGTGTCGTGGTCTCGAAACCAAGCCCATTTCAGTTAAACCTCTCCACACAGATGTGAGTTTTCAAATGTTTCATTTTGTCAGGGTAATCAGAATCCATTCAAAGTTTCCACTGCAAAGGCTCCCCTCATCTACTAGAAAAGCATACAGACTTTTTGGGTTTTGCACATAAGGCTCTTGGTGAGCTGGCCCTTGCCTACCTTTCTAACGTGCCCCCTGCTAACTTCCTGACACGTGCCCTGTTCTTCACATAAGCTCCTATTTGCATGGGCTATAGAGCAACACTTCAAACTAAACTCTACCTTGTGTGTGTGTGTGTGTGTGTGTGTGTGTGTGTGTGTGTGTGTATGCTGTGCGAGTGGGTGCGAGCTCACATGTACACGCAACCATGTCTACACAGAGAAGTTGACTAGAAAGCCAGACCTTTCCACGACATCATATTTGTTAAGAGGTGGGAACGAATGCCAGAATAAAGTTATAATATGACACACAGGGAATGGAGCACAATATGTTTGTTAAGGGAGGCACATTAGGAGTAAAGCAAATATGAATGTAGAAGTACACTGAATGATCCACTGTGGGCTACGGACTGTGTTAGGCACCAGGGATCAAGATAAATGATGCATGGTACCTTGGAATCCTCAGGATGTTCAGAATTTAGGAAAAAACACAAAATTTTACAGAAAAGAGGTGACAAAGCAGAGTAATTTGGTGGCAAATGTCAAAAACTAGTATAATTAAAATGGTAACTAGGGCAGAAGTTAAAAAGGCAAAGAAAGGACACATTCAAGACACATTGTGAAGACAAATAGGATCAAGTCACTAAAAAGAAATATCTGGGATGAGGGAAAAGGGAAAAATCAAAGACTCCAAAAGTTTTAAGTTCAGGTAATTAAAAGAAGGGTTGCATCGTGTCAATAACTTAGAAACCCATGACTCTAGAGTGAGCTGGCTTTAGTAAGGAGGTGGCAGCTCATTTTTTAAGCATAAGTGGTAGCTATGTGTAGATAATCTATGAGAAGGTGCCATGGCCATTCCATTCTCTCTGCTTCATTTTAGCCTATAGAATGTTACCTAATTATGCTTCTTAAACATCCATATGACCATGTTCATGATACTATAACCTTGGGCAAGTTACTTAAACACTCTCTGTCTGAGCTTTCTCAGTTATAAAATGGGAATTGGACAGGCACTTATGCTCAGAGGCTTGGAGAACTGAGTCAGATAAGACCATCATGACCATGACCATCCTGCAGATTAG